GTGTGGACCATCGGGGGTAGTCCGTTCCTGACTTTGTAGCAAAACAACTGACTCCTGCATGAAAGCTCATCGAAGGAATTCATTTGTTTAGTCAATTACCAAAATTTGGATGATTTTGAATATTCACTTGAAAAGTTATCAAAGAAAAACATTTTTCATTTTGTAACTTCGAGGGCCCGTTACTTGGTAACGAAGGATTTTAGGAAAAAAAGTTATATGAAGTACTGGTGATATTTTGACCCCATCTGTATTTTCCCGAGAGGAAAAGAGGAAGTCCAGGGACACCCTGTATAATACTACTGAACGACTATTACCTTTGGTTGAGGTTGAGGAGGTTCAGAGGAATGTAAAGTATATCAGGATCCTTATTGTCGCTGACTAGGAGTCTAGTATCGGACACATCGGTCTCGTCGCTGGCTTCTTTCAGGTCTTCCAAACCTCTCCGTGGTAACGTCGCATCCCCCGATCCTCTTGTGACGTCTGCTTGAACATCGGAGGACATGGTGGAGTAGCCTTCGTCCCTGTTTCCGCTCTCGGGAGATTCGTTTCCCGTGGTTTCTTCTTCACTTTTCGACGTCGATTGTGCTGTAGGATTTGGAATCTTTATTCAGTATCAAATGTTGCATATGAAAATACCGTTATACCTAATACTGGTCGAGATCTCCGATATTTTGTAGTTTGCAGAATTGGTAGGTGTAGATTCAGCGACACGGGCCTTTTTGGGGGCACCCATAAGGCAGAATCCACTGCACTGAGTGCTTCTAGTAGTTTTTTTGGAGTTACTTCAGTCCCCTTCAGTTCTGTCCACAGTTTTGTCAATACGTGATGCCTTTTTTTGTCTTCCAATGAAAGTCGAGTGTCTGGAAAAAAAACAAGGAGAATAAGTTTGAATGATTTAGAAAGGTTGAATTTCTACTATTGCCACTCTACCAAAACAGAAGGAAGAATAGTAGTCCAGTTCCCAGAGAACAAAAAAGGGGTTCACCTTACAAAAGGTGGGGTAGTTTTAATGGGGTCGTTTTAATGGGTATTAAGAGTAAAATATAAAAAATGTGACTAAATCTGGGCTCAGCACAACTTTTGGTAGCCGAAAAACCTAGAAATTTTTGGACATTTATCGGTTTTTTCGCAATATCTCGAAAAGAAATGGTTCTAGCGAAAAACAGTTCCCAATCGAAGTTGTGGAACATTAAATTCCCTACTCATTCCTTGTCAGTTATCAATTGGGGGGTGGGGGGGTTGAGGGTGGGGTTGGTGATGGGTGTGTCTGAAGAACCTTATCGGACCAAAATATAATTCAAAAATACAACCAAAGAATGCATAGGACGCAACACACACACAAAAGCAAGCGCTATTTGTCTTTTTTACCATTTTAAGAAAAATGGCCCTTCTTTGAGATGCTGTAGCTCGCTCCCTATTGGTCGTAGAAGAAAAAATTATATATGAAATTTGTAGGGAATTTAATGCCCTACAACTTTGTATAGAGACTGTTTTTCGCTAGAACCACTCCTTTTCGAGATATTGCGAAAAAACCGAAAAAGGTCCGAAAATTTCGAGGTTTTTCGACTACCAAAAGTTGTACCGAGCCCAGATTTAGTCACATTTTTTATATTTCACTCTTTATACTCATTAAAACGAAATAAAAAATAAAATCTTCTACCCCACCTTTTGTAAGGTGAAATCCTCTGGGAACTGGACTATAGTAATTCACTGAAATATACGGTGGGTAGAGTAGCTCTAAAACGAAACCCCATACCTCGTTTAATACCAGCCCAATCCTACACAATCGATCACACTTTCTCCCAATATTATAATAATAGAAGTGGACTCGGCAGGCTTATTGATAATAAAAATGCATCACTGATATTTAAGGTGGCTAGAGTGGCTAGTACATTCCAAATCAGAACAGCCCAATCCTAAAAACCCCATTAACCATTACACTTGTTTTTCACTCTTTTTACCAATAATATAATAACAGAAGTGGACCTGAAAGGTACAATGATTTAATTTGTTTTTAGATTTTAATGTATATTTTCGTGATCAACTGAACAGATAAGACGGATTGATTTCTCAAAACAAACAAATCAGAAGATCTCCAAAGCAGCAACCAGAAGCTTCTTTTATGGTGAGGTATTTATGGATCACTCCATCCCAAAAATTAAATCAAAATAGCAACAAAAAGCAGTAAAGACTAGAAACTTACCCAATATACTGGCCGTATCAGCTGACAACCTCTTATCAACACTCAAAACAGCCTTGCTATCACAATTATCGCCATTGGGGCTCTCTTCCAGCACTTCCGAATTGAAGGAGTTGCAATGCTTCACATTGGTACTAGCCTCCATGGCGGTCACTGGCGAAGGAGAATCAGCAGAAGCGTCCTTGTTGTCCTTTTGCCTATCTTCGGCTGCAGACCACTCTTTCGAGTAGTGGTCCAGGTCCGCAGGGGTAGAGGGGGTGTCCCCCCTGAGCTGGTGCACTAACATCGATGCTAGAGCTCGGTTCTGGGTCTCCAGTTCTTCGATTCGGTTGTTCAGAGTGCCAACTTCCTCCTTTAAACCCTAAAAGAAGTTAAAATCAAGAAATAAGCACATTACTTAATCATAAGATTGATATGAAGGATCATTATCGTAAAAATATCTTCGTGTAATTTTTAACCTGATAGAAATCGCACGTTGATAGGCAAGACCTCGTTAATCCTTAGCTTGGACACATTTCGAAATTTGAGGAGGCTCCTCGAAGCGGTCAGTTGCATCGACTATATGGTACAGTCGACATCGACTGTAACATATATGTTTATTTAATGATTAGAAATGCAAAACGGTATTCAGTAGTTGATTCAAAATAGCCATAAAGTCAACTTGTGATGTGGTTTATATTAGAACATAATGATAATAACTGAAATTCCTGATGGACTATTCGAAAATTAAAACAGAAACCATACTAAATGCATTAACTACGAATTGAAAGAATCTGGAGTCCCACAAGATTCTCATCTAGGTTCGGTATCACTTCAATTTAATTTTTATAACTCATTATTTGAATGTTTTCCATGTACTTATATAATTTTTTTTTCAATATAACTCTTACTTATCTACTTTTTTCTCTAGCTTTCAAATGCAATAATGCTTTGTCTCTGCATCTTAGATTTTCCTCCTCTAGTATTTCTTGTATATTATATTCATCCACGAATATATAGAGGAGTTGGTCCAAATTCCGGCTAAACCGTTTACTTTCTTAACCATAACTTTGTTAAAATAAATATAATTCACTTTAACTGGGAATAAATTGCATGTTCAAAAGGTTTTATTTAAGTTCATTATATTAAAAAACTACAAAATGAACCTATTTGGGCTAGGCCCAAATTTAGGAGTAATACACTGGAAAAACATAAACAAAGCCTAACGGCACGAATTACCTTCTTCATGCCCACCCCATTTCAGTTATTCCTTTCATTCTAAGGTGTGTACTTGGTTTTTTCCTCGGCATTCTGGAATGTAAACGGTAAGAATAAGAAATATTGAATAGATGGCCCACTGGTAGCCTGAATTTGGACCTTTACTATGGCGTCGCTTTGAGGTTAGTTATACACGAACAAGTTAGAGGAGAGGTAAGAACTATATTTATATTAAAACATTAATATGTTTATAATAAAACGCATTAGTAAGAATGCTCTTGTCATATACCCAGATTATGTAATGAAACGAAAAAAAATGTATCTACAAAAGTTTTCAGATGGTCAAATTCAAAGAATGTTTCACTACGCATATACGTGTCATGGAACAGAACTATACCTGTAACTGAGCAATGGGAACAACCTTGACCATTATTTTACATTCTCTCCGCTAGGTTCCAGCACTTCCTTGTACTGAATATCACGCTAACCCTATGACCCTAGCCCAAATTTGGACCTTCTCCCATTCCCTATGCAGTTTATCGCGAAAAGAAAATTAATACCGAAACACTGGTAATGTACTGTTGTGGGAGCTAAACGTTTACGAGGTCTTACCATTTAACTTACGATTTCCAACTTCATAAAAGAAATGATTAGAAACGATTTTTACTCTACCTTTTGCGCCAACAAAGCCCTGACCACTTGATTGGCCACGTCATCCAAACACTTCTCGTACTGCTTCCTGGACTCCTCTGCCTGTCTCTGTAAAGCAGCGGCGTGAGCCTGTAGAATTCCTTCGGGATTATTATCTCTGCCCGCTTGCTCCAACTGATGTCTGAGAGTTGCTATTTCTATGTTCAGACGACTAATCGTGCATTGGTACTGCTGGCAACGGTTCTGAAACAAAAAAATATATTTTCAAAACAGTTTTTCCAAATATTTTTCGTTATTTTTCACTCGAAATCTAATGTCTTCGTCATTTCTCACACGGGGGCAGGGCATAATTTAATAGATATGTTCAGTTTCGTTTAAACTATTACTAATTAGAAAATCTATTTCATATTCTACTGAAGGATACCTGTTAAAGTGAAAATCTGTTTTTCCCTTAGAAGGGTTTTCATTTGTACACAAATTAAATCATAAAATACGGTACTTCATGTATATTTTGATATGCACTTCAAAAATAATCTCTAAAACAGCTGCTATTAGAAAAAATAACGTCATGTTTCAAGAGTTAAGATACACGGTATACTTTTTTATGCAAAATTCTACAATTCAATATATCAGTGGATGTATCCGAGGCAATTTCATAAAAATTATTATTTATTATCATTACTATTATTATTATCGAAAGGTAAGCTGGTTGGGATCTGTCTGCGAAGCTCCAATACAAGAAGAAGGGCGCGCCAGCATTATTAACCAATAATCACTTACTAGTGGTAAATGATTATTCTTCTTCCTCTTCTTACTATTATTATTATTATTGTCTTCCCAGTTTCCAAAACTTACGAGCTATCAGAAAAAGCTTGTTACGACCTCGATATGTTTCTTGAATATTTGTAATTCATACATTTTAAATTAACCATTCGTATATTTAGAAACGGTATAGTTGGAAGCAAAAATGGGCCTAGTTGAGAATGATCTTGATTGCTAACATATTATCTGTTATTATATTATTGAAAGCGGCCGAAATCATCGCACGCCTCTGGCTTTGAACACAAATAGTTCACTTTTGAAACGTACTGGACTTCTTTTAGAAAATCGTAGTCATCTTCAGAAAAATCTGTTATTTTCCGAACTTGAAGAAACATTCTGCACATTACACTCAAACTCTCATGACTGATCATACACCAAATACCTAGGTATTTCATAATTTTTCACGATGAATATGGTGTGACAACTTTCCTAAAGTATAAGTTTGATGTATGAATCTATAAATCTGCCATAAATGGAACCTGCTTCAGTTTTTCAGTAAATAGGCAATTCGGTTTTGAACAAAAAAAACGTAGTAAGCGGTGACTGGTCACATAACGCATTGTTTGATTTGTCACATCATTTTGTTTGGTTAGTGACGCGATGTCGTGTGTGAATAATGTTTATAAAATTTTGGATTATTTTAGAAATAGTACCGGTTGATTTTGACTTATATCAAGTGAAAATGACTGTTGTGTGTCACTCTTTGAAAAACAAAATACTTCCAAGGCTGGTTTTGTTGGATGAAAGGTAAGTGGAAATGTATTTTGATGTACGTGTCTAGTCTATAGGAATGTAAACATTTGAGTACCTGTTTTGCGTCTTGCAAGATTGTTTTATGAAATTTGAGCCAAAAGTTGAGTTCGTTTATATTTGAGGTCTTCAAATTTCTCAAACCGGGCAGCTCTTCGAAATTAATGTACAAATGTTTTCGGATAAGACAGGTTTTTTCCTAAATAATATTGGGAAATAAAAAAGCTACTCTGCTAGCTGTAATTCTTTGGCATTTGTCGAAAACAATTAACAAAATTGAACTGTATTTAATAAAAAAGCAAAAAATGGTAAAGGTTGTACCTATGAGTTTCTCCGTTAAAAAAATTGACATCTGTCAAATCCAACTGTCTCACAGTCAAACTAAAAGTGAATCTTTCGATAGTGGAACCTGCTTCAATTTCTCAGAAAGCAGGCAACTTTGCGTTCAACTAAAATCATAGTAAGCCGTGACTGGCTACGCAAGAGCGTTTCTACAACCGATTGTTCGATTTGTCATTGCCGTTTATTTCATTTTGTTGGGACAGTGACAGTCATGTGTAAACGAATTTTATAAAGTTTTGGATTTTAGAAATAGTGCCGGTTAATTTTGACTTATATCAAGTGAAAGTGACTGTTGTGTGTTGCCCTTTACAAAACAAGATACATCCAAAAGGCTGGCTTCGTTGGATGAAAGGTAAGTGGAAACGTCTTGGTCTACGCGTCTGTAGGAATGTTCATAAAAATTGGAGGACCTGTTTTGCATTTTACAAATTGGTGCGTGAAATTTGGGCCAAAAGTTCAGTTTTTTTATATTCAAGGTCTTCAATTTTTCAAACCAACATCTCTTTGAGATTTATATATAAGTATCTACAGATATTACTGGTTTTTTCCGATGTGATATCGGAAAACAAAAAAATACTATGTAATTCTTAGACATTTGACAGACACAATTAACAAGATCGAACTGAAGCTAATCAGAAAATGGTAAAGGTTTCATGACTTTCTGCGATACATTTGATATCTGTCAAATCCAACTCGGATATGCATATAAATCTGTACATATTCTATGCATCTTGGCATACATAGAACATAATATCGGAATTAGTCATTAGGGTAGGATCACGTTGAAATTTATTGAAAACGTTGATTGAAGTTGAAAATACGCACTTGCTTTTTGTCTAAACAGTTCCAGGAAGCTTGAAGAATACCTATTTCTATTAAAGACAGTAATGTCATGGTACTAGTGGGTGACGTAATGATAAATATGGACTGGCCATTGGAGAGAGAACATTGACTCCAACAATTGAAAAAAGATGAAAAGATTCACGTCCGGGCATTTACGTCACTCATACATTTAACGTCAGATATAACGTTACGATGTTTTACGTGATGCATGATGTGAAAATTGTCAGAAAACTGGGTTTTTAGTAGAAAAAAAAATAGAACAAAATAAGACTATTAGATACAGTGCCTTACAAAAAATGTGTTTGTTGAATTTCTTCAGTCTTCCACATTGTGCAATGGAGTAGCATACGCTAGTAATTTTGATGATCAACTAGAAAAAAATCTGTAGATTCAAGTACGGAGATCGAGCAGTCTATGTCGTTAAACGATAAAGCTTTCTCTCAAATTTTTATTTTCGGTAATCATAACTTTTATTTCGGGTTTGAAAAATATCAAAATTGGTTTTGTCAGAGGTATGGTCAGAAAATTTTGTCGCCCTATATCTTTGAAAAAAAAAGTTGTAGTCGAAATTTTTGAAAAGTTTCTTGGAAAAATTATTATATCACTAGGCATAGGGTGACAAAATAGTAGCTGGTCTTTTAGGATACAGACAACTTTTTGAAATTTATTTCCAATTCTTTCAAAAAATCCTACTGTGAACAAAGATAGTAATCAAGTTAAATATTTTCCTATATTAACAGTTCTTTTAAACTACGGTATACCTAAATTCTAGCAAAAATGGTGTGTCATATTAAAATATATATTTTATTTCATCAGTTCCGACTTCCATTGTCTAATATAATATAAATTGATTTAAAATCCCTGAAAAAAATAAAAAGATTAACCGTAAATAACAATTTGTTTATTGTCATATTGCATAAGAAATTGAAATTGAGAAGACCAGTTTGAACTTTCTAGGCGAATACGTGTCCGAGATATTTGATTTTGAAATGAAGGCGAAATTTAAAAATTTTGATTTTTTCAAATTTTTGAATAATTAGAAACTAATTATCCTAAAAATTTTCGATTTTCAATATTCATTGTGGATACGATAAGCAAACCGAAAATGATCAAAATCCAAGAAGTTATATCCAGGCTGTAGGTTGATTTGACATGGAGTGGTCTTGCCGCGAATTATGAAAAATTAAAAACTTAAAAAAAGTTCTCTCCAATATTTTTTTTTGTATTGTTTGACCACGTGTTAATAGCAGACACCCTCCTTCCTCTTCCTCCTGCCGCAGCCCTCAAATTGATTCGAGAATGAATATTTGTCTGTTGTAAAAACGATCCCCAAATATATTCCAATTAATTTCCCGCAGAGATAACGTAACGGTAATGTTCAACGTGTTGTATATGTTGTTTTGGGAAAAGGGTGAACCAAAATTATTTTGAAGCCCTTTGAATAATTCATGTTGGAAGGGCATGCACACACGCAGAGACGGACTGGAGAAACATTCCTAAATGAATAATTGATCTAGTGTAAATAATGATAGTCATTGTAATGGACATTTTAAAGAATGAGTACAATAATCATGTAGATGTTCCACTGCAAGCTGGTTGAGACTCTTTTAATGTCGAGTATTTTCTATGGTGATAATAATATAAAATCAATAACCTGTGCTGTGGTGATATTTTGTTTAGGAGTTCTACAAGGTTCCATTTTAGGACTCTTGCTAGACCTAAATGAATTCAGTGGAGCTCTTGGTAATTTACCAGCTGCAGAATGTATGCTGCGCCAATTTTTTGTTCCAAGCAAAGATGATATTTATAGTAAACATCACTGTGATTAGGCACTAGATAGTTGATTGAGGGAATATTGAATATTATTAAAACGGTGTAAGTGAATTTTTATCCTTCATGATTAAAAAATTCAATCAAAAATAAGATCTGATCAATTGCTAGACGTATTTGTATACATATTTTCAATAAAAATTGCTCTTTTTGAAAAACTAACAGATTCTATGCTCTCAATACTAGATAAATCGACAATTCCAATATTCATTCATTTCAGTATAAAATCACTTTTAAGTCACTGACTAGACTTACTCCTACATTTTTTTTTTCATCTACCTCAATATTGAATTAAAAATAATAATATAAATATATTTGAGAAAGAGCTGACATTACTATCGACAGAACAATGTTTTTATATTGGAAATGAATAATAACAACATTGATAATGAAATTGTAGGTAGTCAACAGCCTTTAATATCATTATAAAAAAATAGGAGAAAAACTAATTCACTAAAGGAACTCCAACCAACTGTAACCTAAAGAAATGTAAGTAAAGTGCTATTAAAAATTTAGGTTTGGATTTATTATTATTATTTTTGTGATATAACTGTAAAATAACTTTTACAGAAACACAACGTTTCATAATGATAGAATCGAAAAAAAAATCGAGAAATTGTAATTTTATCGTTTTCGTTATTTTTCTCTATAGTTTT